CTGGATGCTTCATCTGCGCACTCGGGCAGCGAAGTCGTAAAAATGTAATTCGTTTGTCATGTTTGATATCACCTGTGCAATATTTTGTGCGATGAAGCTTTTGGTAATCTCCTCCCCTGTTTTATTTCAATATCTCATCCTGTGTCCATACATGAATTGGAGTGTTTCTTGTGGTAATTTTTTTCAATGCTATAAAGGAGAGCTGACATCCTAGAAATTGTATCTTTGTTTATTCTGGATGTTGGAGAAATATTTAGGAGGCTGTGGAACTGATTTTCTTCAATGAGAACACATCTCTTCTCCTGTGTGTTTTAGGAAATTCTTTAGTAGGAAGTGGCTTGTGAGTAACTTCAGTGTCCATTATGAAGCAGGTTTTTTTCCAAAAAATCAGAGTTACCATATTTTTAACATACAACGAAATAGAATTTAATAATAAAAAAGCTTGAAAAGTACCAGGGAGTATTGGACAAATTATAGGTTTTTTTGTTTTTTTGAATTAAAACAGTTTTTTATCTTTTGGTGCACAGAAGCTTCTTCATATTAGGTTACTTATGACCTGTTTATATTGGGAGTTCAGAACTTGTCTACCCTGTTTTTTTCCAGAAACATTCTGTGGATGACTGGAAAACTATTAAGATTAAAGTAAAGAGGAAGTGAAACTGCACTGGGGGGAAGTGAGTCATGGTATATAAAGTATTTAATTAACACCTGTCTTGGATGCTTGCATTAAGAAGGGGCTGGTGAAATGTGAAGCACTTTGGTCTTCATATAAATGTACAGAAAGCTTCCATATAAACTTTGGGGTCTTCCAATGAAATTCTTGCGAGAATAACAGGAAGAAATTTTCTAATGTTTTAAGCTTAAACGGGGAAGAAATCTTTCAAATATATATATTTTTTCCACAGCACAGATAAGAAAAGAAAAATGATAGAAACACACACTCTGTTTTTTTTGTAATGATTTTGATTTTTCTTTTTTTTTTTTTTTACGTCATGTTTGAGGTTATCTTAAAGTTATCCTTAACAGCAGGAATCGTTACAGGGCCACTCAAAGAAAGTGCAAGAAACATGGAAAGCATAACAGGAAAAAGTAAGGACCATAAATAGAGGGGACGTGGAAGTGTACATGTGTGAACCAATATCAAAGGACATATCTTGAATGTAAAGCCAACAGTATTAATAAAACCTGTCAAGGTTGGCTCTGAATTAACTTTTATAAGGATCAAATACTTACGGGTTTTCAAAAGATGTGTCATAATCTGCTTTCGGCTGTACTGGGAATCATAACTGTGCAATGCTCTGAAACTGACGATGAGTGATACTTTGAGTGCCTTAGTCGGGTATTTTGAAAGTGGGTAACTGAGTGCATAGAGCATAATTTTTTAATGTGATGACAGAGCAAGGTGAAATGTTTGTTTAAAATGACTTTCTGATCTCACAGCTAAGATTTCAGTTTAGTTAGGAAGTCACCTTGGAGGCCATCAGGCTTTTAAAAGGGTATAATTAGACTGTAGGATGATTTAGCTCAGTGAGCAGAGTATAGAGAAATATTGCTTGGAGGAATAACCTTAATGAACTAGTGGTCCCAAGCACCTGAATTCTTGTTGCAAGACCAAGGGATGAAGATACACCTGCTATAAAATTCGACCTTCAATGTTATGACATCCCAACATGCTAATTTTTATGGAAAAGTCACGAATAAAGTTACCAGCAAGAATGACCTTAAGCTCTTTTTTTTGCATAGTATGTAAAAATGAAGTCGTCTTGAATATCTGTACTAAGGGAGAGTATATTACTTATACGTTGACAAAGCAAGTTTTTCTGTGTTAGCAAGTAAAAGCAAATCTCTGGGATGCAGAAAGGCTAAAATTTGCCAATAAACATATGCTAAAGATGACATGATATGTTTGCCACAACATTTCTATATAATTGATGAGCATAAGTAAAAAAATATTTGTACAGTTGCACATGTGGTAGGCTTGCGAATAGTCAGCTGAACAGTGTCATTCAAATGGTCTGTCTATAGCCTAATACCAAACAAATACTTACGTATTTGCCTGTATATTCAGGCTGTCACATAGTCAGCTTTGAAAGTCAACTTTATGTAGGTTTGTTCTTTTTAAAATAGCTTCTAAGCTATTTTTTGAAAGTATTAATTCTGAAAGCTAAGGTGGTATGGGTATGTTCACAGTATAGGCCAACTGCTAATACAGGAATGTAGGAGATGCTTTTGATATATTAATGCTAAATGCTAACAAATTACCCTAAAGAAACCTAAGCATTAAGAGAAAAGTGAACTGGTGCAGTTGTTCATTATGATTTCTTGTAATAACAGAGATAGGAGATGCATTTTCAAATGTTTTGGATAGCAGGAGTATGTGTATGCATGTATGTAAAGTATATATTTTAGTACACAGCATCAATGCCATGGATAATGCATTTTTAGATAGCACTGTATGTTAAATACTTACTATAGATTCTAGAACAAATAAACACATTTGTGATATACTTTGACGTGGTAGGGTAACTTCTGTCTAGATGGATTATCCCTATGTGGGTATTGCATGTTGTTAAAGCAGTTCTATCTGAGGTAGAATAAAGTTGCCTTAGGTTCTTGTGATCATAGACATACCTTTTATGGAACGGGCTATCTTTGTACTGTCATCTTTTAAATGTGAAGTAAGATAGAGTTGTTCTGATTTGCAACTTTTTGATCAAAGTACAAGTTTGGATAACAGCAAAATACTGAACTAAAACTTTGAGTTGAGTAATGTTATTGGTAATGTTCCTACAGGCATCCTTAAGCTCTTTGGTCTGTAACTGTCTTAAATAGCCTGAAGATGATATGCTTATTCAGAAATGTCAATGTCTTGTAATAGCTAGATAGGTAGCAAGTGTTTTATTGTCTGACGGTTGACCTTTAAATTTTGTCAAGTAATTTTGTGATATGCTATGGTGTGGATATTATATGTGCAACGTGCTCTTTCTGACTCTTGCTGAGAATCTTCTGGGTATGTAACAATGTTAGTCTGGTCTTACGTCAGATTTTAAACCGAGTGTCATTAAAGTTGGTTGGAACGTGGAAGTTGGAACCAAGCTGGAAACTGAGAAATCATGGTAGCAGCTAAAAGAGGTAGTAGTGTTTCCAATAGATGGTGGCTGGCTTGCTTTTTAAATTATTTGTATTTATTTATCGTTACTCAGTAGCGACTGAATAGGCGCTATTCTACAATGTGCTGTTGGATGTGCTCCCTTCTGGCTGGAATGTTAAACTGAGAAGTTCACTTTACTGATTAATATGTATTCAAAAAGATAATGGTGGTAATTTAGATTGTTCTGTCTGTTGTCCCAGTAATTGGGATAATTTCAGTGCTTTTAGTATGGTTTAGTACATGATATCTTCTTAGTGTGACACTTACCATTGCTATGCTTCAGCTTGAAGATTGCAACAAATCAAATCTGAAGTTATTTGTAGTTAGAAATATAGAGTGCTTTAAGAATAAAATTAAGACTTTAGACTTCTGATTATGTTTTTTATCTGTGAAGTGACTGAAAGCTCAACACTAACGTTGGAAATACTAAATATTAATCATATGCAGGAAGTTATCTAGCTATTAATGTTTCTGGCCCCTATCAGGCAATAGCAGACTTCACAAATTGATTAAAACAAAAAATAAACACTTTCTAGTCTAGATGAAATGCATTAGGATGTTAGTATGTTTTGCTGCTACAGTCAGTCTGCAAGAGTTTATGGACTGCAGTTTGATGAAATGATCAAGGTTTTGGCTATTTCTGTATCTTATCAGGTTGTTCTAGCTACTAGTAGAACCACTAGTGTTCTAGCCTGTGGAGACACCTGTTCTTAATCAGATTTAAGCAAGAAAATTGAATATCATTACAAAAAGAGTCTACTGGAGCATTGAGCTTTGGTTTTTAAGGGAGCGTGCTTGCTGTGAGTAAGCTGAGGTTTGTCCTGTCTTTGTCAGAAAACTGAAACTTAAATCAAAAGAAGGTGGAAAAGAAGTGCTGTAGTTTTTTTATTATTGCTATATCTTCAAATGGCCTTGGAATGTCCAAGACACACTTGGGCAAATCTTGAACTTGAACTCAGTATTCTAATAGCTAGATTCTGTGTTCCCTATGTGTTAGGCTTTGGAGAATGGATCTGACAAAACTGTGAAAGTCCCTGGTTTTGTGAGGGTGTGACCAAGGACAGAGAAGGCTACTAGAGTTGAGGAGTGATTACTGGCAGTAAAGAATTGGACTGACTCCTGATTTGACTTCTCTGAAAAGCTCTGCTGAATTAATGAGGCTGTTCTTCACTCAGTAAAACTTCTAGATACTCTAGAATACACACATTAATTGCCAGTTCTGAACTGACAAATGTTTAGACTACTGTCACAGCTTGCCAGGGGAGTGGGCACGTCACAGCTTACCAGACAAATGTACACCCCTGCAAATATCTGTTCTCTTTTTTTTTTCCTCTGGATACAGTAGGACTGTCATAGCTGAGAATAGTTAATGAAAATCTTTGGGTTGTCTAGACACAATGCTGTACCTCTCATGAAATGCAGATTTTGACTGACAGTGTTTCAGAACCTCAGAAGTCAATGTTAACTATGTACCTGTGTTTAGAATAGGATATGGTTGGTTTAGTTTCTTGTACTCGGGCTGTGATTAAATTGACCTTTTGGGTGACTGTCTTGCCTTGGCTTCTTCCCATCCATCTTAGTAGCTCCCTCTGTTTGGCAGAATTGTCTATTTCTATGTACTGAATGGGGTTGAGGTACTGATTTGGCTGTAAACTTTTGTTATAACAAGTTGCACAAATGTTATTGCTAGCCTGATGGATGACTAGTATGGAAAAGGAGAATGAGCAAAGAAAGCAAGAGAACTGTCTGGACGCTGTTGCTGTTGAATGTGTAACCACATGTGAGGCCTTCAGCTATTTACTGGAGTTCCTAGTGATTTTGTTCTTTTTTCAGAAAGCAAATCTTGAATCTGTTTATGGATTTTTAGAGAGTCTGAAAATACTATCTCAAAAC